ACCTAAGACCTCTCACTAACACGTGAAGAGAAATATCACTAGACCGTAGTACTAAGTGACTATTTTAGAGTTAAAATATGAAGATTAAAGTTTTAATTTTTTTTATATATATAATCCAAACTAAGTCTGGTTGATAATTTAGAAAATGAAGCAACTCCAAAACTCCAACTATATAAAATGCTAACCAACCACATAAATTCCACTTCCATTCTCCTCTTTCAAGATTTCTCCTTTCGTCTCCCCACCGTTGCAAAATTATACCAATATTTTTTTAGTTGACAAAATTGAATTATGGGGAATTGTTGGACATCTCCTGATCCTCATCCCAACCTTACGAGGCTAAACACATCAATGCTGGTATGAACTATACATGATTAATTTGATCGCTATCCGGCTGCACAGGCGCCTGCACAACCTGTGTCGCCACCTTTCTACGGCGGCTCAACCCTCTCCCGACTTTCAAAGCTACTCTCACCACCAACTTGACAAGACTGGATAATATCTTAACTTTGACCTGGCCTCTCTTTTGGAGGAAGCCTAGATAGAGCCATTGGTGTGGGAACATAAATTAAGAACCAATGTTTTGTTTCCAAGTACGAAGAAAATGGGAATCAGACAGCTTTTTAATGTTGGTGTGGATAAAATGGCATGGGACGTCGATAATAACAGGGGGTTGACTATTACAATCGGTTAAATATCCGTTTATAGTTGATGCCAAGCCAGTGAAAAATAAGGGTTTGGAATTTTGGATTAAATAAACTGTTGACCAAATGGAATTAAGGATACAGACTGTAAGGATGAAGGATTCTCACGCAACCTCCCTCTGAAAGTGAGTGGTGAACTCTTGTTAGCACAAGGTGCCTTAGCCAATAGTCAAGCCTTGAGTAGGCTCATAGGCTCTTTTGTAAAAATAGTGATTTTTTTCCAACGTGCCAATGCTGGCCAAGACCAATATGTCAATTGTTTTAAATTGTTAATGAGCCATTTACTTGTGCCACAAGAAACTGGCCTTCTTTTCTATGCCTTGAAGACAAGGATTTTATAATTTTCTCACGTTAAATACCAAAGAACAAGGATCACAAATTGATCAAAGGAGACTTTGAACCAGTCAGCAATCTTTGGGTAAAGGGAAGATGCAGAAAAATAAAGCACAGTACATAAACAAAGGAATATACTAGCAAATGTTCAAGAAACATTTATAACATGTGTAATAAACAAAGCATAATGACAATAACATGAAAATAAATGACAAATACAAGCCATTAGGCGAGTTTCCAAGCTTGTCTGGCAAGTTCATGCAGGGCTGGCAATGTGCTATTGAAAGGGTTCTACAACGGGAATCGATACTACACAAGGGAAGTAGTAGAGGTATAGATACAAAGGAATGTTTGAGATAAAAAAGGAATAATTGAAAAGTAAGTTGTAGAGCTTTTAGAAGTCTTTTTGGCTTGAGTCGATCAGTATCCTTTTCTCTAATCCTTCTGTTGCCTTTTATAGAAGTTTTCTTCTTCTAGAATTAAGATTTTCTAACTCGATTCATTCTCTTTCATCCAAGTTGGAGATGTGACGTTCGTCAAAGGATGAGCCCTTTCTTGGATACTCAAGCTTTGATCCTCTTGAATTTACAGATCTTGAAGCACTTTTCTTTGAGAAACTTGGCTAAGTAAACTTTTTTTTGTTTGTGTGAACGACGGTGAGCTCGCTGCCCAAACCTGCCACGTCAAAAGTACTTTTGAATTTTGGGTCAGCCATTGTTCATTTTTACTAAAATAAATATCCAAAATAACAGTATGAGTTTAAAATGACATTAGGCCTTTGCCAGGCCCAATTTGTTTAATTATGGTCCAAACACATACAATTAAATATAGTTAAAAAATGAAAAAGAAATTAATGAAAATGATTTAAAACTTTGAATTTCAACTAAAAGTCATTTAATAACTTTATTTAATGATAAGGACAAGAGAAAGAAGAAAAAAAAAAACCTAATGAAAGTGCATATGTCTCACTCCCGTTTTCTACATGCCTATTTATATTAAGGGCAAATATTGTAGTGCTCATTCGGCATATAGACTGGGTACTGGTAGTGGTAGTGAATTTGAATTACATTATTGTTAGCCATTGTGAGGCTTAGCCCACTCCTTCACTCCCTTAATGTAGATAATATCGTTTGTTCAAAAAAAAAAAAATTATTGCCTAATAAATTTGAACAAGTTAATAAGTCTTTTGCTACAATTAGTACAAATAGATTGGATAAATTCCTCTTCTTTTTCTCATATGCTAATGAGAAATTGGAATCTTTTTTATGAGTCCATATTATATCATATATTTTACCTTATTCTTAGTATTAATTTATTGGTTATTTTGGTAAAATTTTGATACTTTGGATTATATTTTCAATGTAGGACATTCAACTTCCTCTGGAGCAAAAAGTGATCAAACGGATGAGTTTTGGAATGATTCTAATTGAAGAATGTTCGTGAGTCTTTCAAGATGATTGTAGCAAAGTTTCAGATTTTTCTACACTGTGGCAATGAAATAAAGACTCAGCGCGCAGCTTTCCCAGATTGATGTTTTTGAACGTTTTGGGCATTTTGGAGGTCCACATGGCATATTTTGAGGAAGATTCCTTCTGAGGATTTGTAGGGGACATCTTCAACTTTCAAAAGAGACTTTTTGGAACCAAATCGGGGTTGATTTGGTCAGTCAAAAGATGAATTGTCTGAGAAATCCAAATTTCAGTTTAAATAGAAACCTTTTTATTTCTTAGTTATCTTATTCTATTACGTTTCCTAGTTTTTAGAAGACCTTTTTTAGTAAGGATTTTATTTTGTAGTAGCATAAATAAGGCTTTTCAGCCATTAGGTTTTTTTTTTATTTTTTTAAAGAAAAGAGAGGAGAACGCATAAAATTTAGGGACGCACTACTTTGGAAGATTCAAGTTTATTTTAAGGTGTTTTCTATCTATGTTTTTAATAATATTTTGTTTTATGATTGTTCGCATCTAGTTTCGTTTGATAGGGCGAAGCCACGAGCCTTAGCAAGAATATGTAGTTTATTTTCAATGTGCTTATGATATTATGCATGCAAGTTTTGAATTATTAATCACCTTGTTGAAACTATCCAATTGTCTTGATGATTGGCTTCCATTAGGATATTTAAAAAAGTAATCAATTTTGACAGAGGTCTGTCCCTGGAATTGGCGCTAGCTTCTTGTGGTTAATATGTGTAACTTCTTAGGATGGACGACACATCTCAAGGGTTATATGGTTTTTCAAAAGGTTTTCACAAAATTTAATGAGTCCTGCATATTCACATTCGATCTAGACGCCACATACGGGTTGCATGTTAGATACACGTTTTATGTTGGAGGTTCCAGGTAGAATATATATTAAGAAAACCTAACCTTTAAATAAGCATGTGTAAGGCATAAGTAATTGGAATAACTACGTAGGATTGTTAAAGTGACGGCGGAACCTAGTGCTCAAATTTATTTTCAAAGCTATTTTCTTTTGCGTCCTTTACTTTGCCAATTTATTTAATTGTATACTTTGCCAATTTATTTAATTGTTTTTAATTAAATTCGTTTTTAATATTTTAGGTAATAAAATCAACCTCTTCCAAACTTTGTTTTCAAATAATTAATTAAGATTTGGTATTTACATAAATTATTCATTCAATCCTTGTGGAGAACGACCTTGCTTAAGCTGTTATACTACGATAACCTTGTACTCTTCTAAGTATTTTTAAGTGTTTTATCCCTACTTTTGCAGGTGGTAAAATCTCTCTCACTTTTTATGCACTAAATTTGCATCATGCAATCCAAAGGCCCGAGTTCGATTCTCACTTCTTCACTATGATTTATAATAAAATAAAATGTTTCATCATACATGGAAACGAGCAGAAGTTGGATGCAAAAGCAGCCGACAAAACGCCAGAAAATTGGAATTCGATTATTAATTAAGCGTGGGCAATATTATTCCTAAATGGAATTCCTATTACTTGTCTGATTTTATAAACCGTTTTCCAACTGGATTTGGGAAACATTTTCCGTTTGGGACACTGACTATATCTATCTATCTATATATCACGCATGCTCACGCCTTATTTCCCTTCATCTAAATTTCATTCATTCATTCTGCTTTCTGCTGTCTGCTTTCCTAATTGCTTGTTTATTGTTTACTGTTTTAGTCATGGCTCTAAGAAACACTGCTGCCGTGAATTTCATCATTATGATGATTTTCTTTGGTGCTTGTTCCGCTACCGTTTATACGGTTGGCGGCGATTTGGAAGGATGGACTGACAGTGGCGCCGTTGATTACAACAAGTGGGCTTCATCGAAAAAATTCTATGTGGGCGACGAGTTCATATTTAATTACAAACATGAATATGATTTTGTGATGATAGTCACTCAAGCAGATTATGACTATTGCATTCCATCACTTCCTCTATCTCATTACGGTACCTTTACCGCCTTAACTTTTGATAAACCCGGCACCTACTATGTTATTTGCGGTGAACCTGGTCACTGCAAAGCCGGCCAAAAGATCAAAATCAAGATCAATGCCCTCGAAATAGAAGATCCAGTGGTTAGTCCAAGCCCCTCTCCTTCTCCATCCGCGCCATCAGCTTCTCCTTCTAATGCCAAAGCAATGTCACCAAGCTCAAAAATCACACGACCGCTCCCGGTTCTTAATCTTGTGATCGTCGGTGGGGCTGCTACCGCGCTTCTTATGTTGGTGGCTTGGGTTTCGCATTTTATCTACCGCCGTTTAAATGAATCCATGTTCCAAGCCGAGAAGAGCTCCCAAGTAGTTTAAATGTATTCTTTATTTTATTCGGATTGATTGTATATGAATTTTTACTTTCATTCGTTTCAGTTGTTTTCAACATACACTGTGGTTCAACTTACATATATGAAAAGATTATTTAGATTACATATATATTTATTTGATTTTTATCATGAGAAAAGCTATAAGATGAGAGATGTAGAACAACAAAAAGAGTTGTGAAGGGGATTTTTGACTTCAACCAAACCAAATCAGTAACAATACATAATTTCTCTACAACAAAGCACTAGTAATGAAAAAATTGAATCTTAATCATAATTTGCTCGCCTCCATGCTCATGTCCCGTCATAACAAACACAGAGAAATCGACATGAATGAAATTCGAAAATGAATACAAAAAGAAATTCCGCAACCGCTTGAATAGAAGAAGCCTTTCTGTAATACAAAATCTGTTGTGTAGATTCTTTGTTCCCCGCTTGCTTTGTTTGCGCGATTAGAAGCATTTCCTGTGAACAATTGAGGGGCCAGACTCATCGTACTCCGCCTTTGCAATCCACATCTGCACTCAGAAATAGAAATAGCTTTGAGTATGAATACATTAAGTTACCTCCCGAATGAATTGTCACATCAGCATTTTGACAAACAAGAAATTAAGAAAGAAGAGGTGTTTTAGCTGTTTTCAATTGAAAAGACGCACACATACGTGCGCGACAAATTACCTGTTGGAAGGTGCTGAGGGATGCTAAAATGGAGCCTCCAATCCAGACACTGTATTTCCTCTCAGGTGGTGCTACGACCTTAATCTTCATGCTACTTGGAGCCAAGGCTGTAATCTCTTTGCTCATCCTGTCAGCAATTCCAGGGAACATAGTGGAGCCTCCACTGAGGACAATATTTCCATACAGATCCTTCCTAATATCAACATCACACTTCATGATAGAGTTGTATGTGGTTTCATGGATACCGGCAGCTTCCATTCCAATCATGGATGGCTGGAAGAGGACTTCAGGGCACCGGAATCTCTCAGCTCCTATAGTGATTACCTGTCCATCAGGTAGCTCGTAACTCTTCTCCACAGACGAGCTGGTCTTTGATGTCTCTAGCTCTTGTTCATAGTCAAGAGCAATATAGGCTAACTTCTCCTTCATGTCCCTCACAATTTCCCGCTCAGCAGTTGTGGTGAAAGAGTAACCACGTTCAGTCAAGATTTTCATGAGAGCATCTGTAAGATCACGACCTGCCAGGTCCAAACGAAGGATGGCATGTGGAAGGGCATACCCTTCATAAATTGGAACTGTGTGGCTCACACCATCCCCTGAGTCGAGAACAATACCTAAACACCAAAACATTCGTGACCAAAAAGCATTAGAATGCAAGTTTTGTCACTACCACAGAGACTCGAAAAATAAACATTTTATTTCTTTCAAGCATTGTAGAGCAGTACTTTGACAAATATCAGCCGTTACTCCACTTAAACAATGAACCCAATAGGTGGTACAAAAGGATTTTCTTCCCTAAGCTAAACCATGAATGCAGTCGTGCAATAGGCCGAATAAAGATGATCACACATGTATTCTTATCCTATGAGATCCATGGAACTATTTTTGGTTCCGAAACATTTCTGATAACAATAATAATACATGATGCATCATACAGAGAAAACAAATCAATTACTCAATTGAATTGCTTACCAGTTGTACGCCCACTAGCATATAGGGAAAGGACAGCCTGGATTGCAACATACATAGCCGGGGTGTTGAATGTCTCAAACATAATTTGAGTCATTTTTTCACGATTGGCCTTGGGGTTAAGGGGTGCTTCTGTCAGGAGAACTGGATGCTCTTCCGGAGCCACACGGAGCTCATTGTAGAATGTGTGATGCCAGATCTTCTCCATGTCATCCCAATTGCTTACAATACCGTGCTCAATTGGATATTTCAAGGTCAAAATACCTCTCTTCGATTGAGCCTCATCCCCTACATAGGCATCCTTTTGACCCATACCAACCATCACACCAGTGTGACGAGGACGACCTACAATGCTGGGAAATACAGCCCTTGGAGCATCATCTCCAGCAAATCCAGCCTGCATTATCAGCTCAAATATTCAGTACTTAAAACAAAACAAAAAACCCAATAAATTCGGAAAAATAAAGACATTGTAGGATCGCAAAAGAATGGTCACGGGACACGTACCTTGACCATTCCAGTACCATTGTCACAAACAAGGGGCTGGATATCTTCAGATTCTGCCATTTTCTATTGCTTTCTGCAGAAAGAAACCAAACAACTCAATCAAATTATCGCAAACAATCACATTCATTTGCATCTAGATATGCTGACAATTTATAAATGATGGGAAATCAACGTACAGAAATCATCTGAAAAGGATGACACATTATATAAAAACAATCAAGTTATGCAGATCATCACAGAAACATGAAAAATCGAAAGGAGCTATCAATCCACTGCCTACCCAAGTTTATGAACCCAAAGCCACCATAGAGACCAAACTACAAACACATGCATTCCCAAATCACAAATGTAGGTAATATTTCAGATGATCAAGAAAAACCCATCAATGTTTTCAAGAATCATACACAACTTGCAAGCTGGGCATAGCCAAATTCACTCTCTCCACCGAAATTCAAATTCCCCATCCCCATAATTTAGATTAGATTAGAATATCGCTTGAATAAATCGATAATCAAGCAAAACCCAGATAAAAATACATCGAAGAAAACGAAATCAATGCAAAACACAAAAGGAAAATGGAAAAAGTTTGTACCTTCGAATGGAAATGGAAGAAACTATTTGGGTTGTGCGTTTCGTTTCTCTCTCTTTGTTAAGAGAATGGCCGAGGTACCCGCCCTCTTGTTTTTAAAACAGGAAGCTCTCCCAAATGAAATTCACCTTAAATGAACCCCAAATTCGCCATCTTCAGATCCTGACCGTCGGTTGGGAATATCTGATCAACGGACCCCATGACGAGTCTCGCTGATGGTGGAAACAGCTGGATTCGCCTTCGGTCTTTGTGCTTGTCAGGACGGATTTGCCCCTGACATTACTGCTAATGGCCCACCTGTCCTTCCAATTGTGACCGAGGGTATATTGGGAAACATGGTCGTTTCATCTTGCATCCGGCATGGAAATGTAACCCCATTTTCCTAAATTAATTTTCTTTTCAAAGTTTGAATCACCAACGGATAGATCATGTTCTGGTTTCATTTGCGGAATTAATATGACTTAAATTGAAATAAGTTTGGAACAAACAAGTTTTGGTATAAATTTTTTTATTTTATTACAACGATATTTTTACGCTAAGGAGAGAAGGAGTTCACGATGGGTAGTGTAATTTGGTATCGAATTTATCATCTATGAGATTCAAATCTAAGATATCTCATTTTCAAATAAAGAGGAATATCATCCGACCGTAGTACTGAATAGCTTGGTATAAAAAAATTATGAATTAACTTTTGTAATAATAGTCTTTTTAAATTTTAGATAATACATCTAATTGTGTTGGCGCATGTTGGGTAACTTGTTGGTGCATAACTAAGTCGATATGAGCTATATAAACTTTCACAAGAGTTTCATTAGTAACTATTCATTTTAAGAGTTTCATTAGTAACTATTCGTTTTGAGATGCAGCGCCTAAGTGGCGAGCACTTCCTTTAGTCAGACATAGATTGAATAGAATTTATGTTTATACTGTACCTATGTATAAGGTGAGCACATCCGCTTTTGCCTATGTGGCTATTCTTCCATCTGTCATTATCATCTTATTGTATGAATCAATAATTTGCAATCTTATTTATAAAGTAACTAAGTGCACTCACAAAAAGATTAAACTTATAGCCAACAAGATTGGTTGAGTTGGTAATAATAGTTCTCTTCGCTAAACCAACACATAGGTTCAAGTCATACTGCCAGCAATCCCTCTTGGTAGACAATCTGTAAAAACAAAATAAAAAAGGTTAAGACCCCCTCTGTAAGCTCTTAAAGAGACTTGTAATATGTCTTGACCCTAAACTGGTATAGGTTCCCATTTCGCTAACTTTTTGTTACCAAAAGAAAAAAGTTTAATCTCACATGATTAGTTTCTTGCTATTTATCTTAATATGAACAAGTAGGGGTTATGTATAGTAACAATTTGTAGAGTACAAGCAACGCATAGTTAGTTGATCATACATCACTTCCAAATTCATCAAAACAAACTACATAGCAAATAAGCACTTCAATACCACATTTGACTTCCAAAAATACCCTTGTACTTGCAGAATTGTCAAATAAGGAAGAGGAGAGGGGCAAATTGGTCATGCCAAGGAGAACATTTTATTTAGCTAAATAGGATGCCCCCTGAATCGCTTTATTTAAGTGGGTGGAAGGTATGTGGGGTTGGGTGGCAGTAATTATGCATGGGACGGTGCGCTTTTGCCAAAAGAACAAATTGCCAACTCAGCAATTCGGTTTCCAACTGATAGGAGATCACGTTGGCGTGGTATCTTCACGTGCGGCCGCTTCCACGGACACTCGTTCGTTTCGCCTATCTTGTCGCTCCTCCTCCTCGCCGTTGACCAGTAAATTCGTCAACAGCTAAACCAACGGTGGATGGAACACATGTAAAATTCGTCTCAACAGCTAAACCAACGGTGGATTCGAACACGTGTAAAATTCGTCGACAGCTAAACGAACGGAAGCGTGAAATGCATAACTACCGGCAGGCTCACAACGTGGTCACTCGTCTATGAGCCAGTCTTCTATTAAAGTTCCCTTTTTCTCCCCTTTTAAAACTTCTAAAACATTCTTTAGCTTTCTTTTTTAATTTTATAATCCAATGAATCCTTATACAATTCAATGGTAATCCAATGAATCTTTAATGGATTGTAAAGGGTGTTAGCACGACAGATGGATGCAGATAATTTTGTAGACAATGAAATATTCATAATAACTTATCATGTGATCAGCATGTGAACATATAACTGTAACTTTAATGTTATATACAGTGATTAATTATAGGTCTCTTAAGAAATGAACAAGGACTGAGCCATCAAAGAGCAAGAAAGGTCTAATATTGACCACAACCTTAATACGAATTGTTTTCTCATTTTTTTGTTGTTGATCATAGTTTTCTTAAGAGTGGAACTAGTGGCAAATCACAGTTATCCATTCCTTTCGGGCCTAGAGAGGGTATAAGGAATTTCACATTGCTTGTGGTCACAATCAAGCAGACTTACCAGTTTGGAGCATTGAACTCAGGACCTCCCATTTTTTTGTTTATTGAGGAGCAACAGTCTGCGCCCTTACCGTTGGACCACTTATTATAGTTTAATTTTCTTAAGAGCTGGGAGGCACGACAATGTGTTAGGTTTTAACAAAATAAGAAGCAATGCAACACTATGAGGTTGATTTTTTTTTTTTTTTGGACAAACAATATTATCTACAAGGGAGGAGGTGACTAAGCCTCACAATGGACTTGTAATAATATGGTTCAAATTTGTCTTTGGCAAGAATTGAACCTAAGGCATCTCACTTACAAGTGAAAAGGAATACCATCAGACCGTAATACTAAATGACTTGAAATTTATTTAGAACTTTATTTACTTCGCTCTCATAATTTGTTAATTTGTAGTATTGTTAATTTGTTAACACCAGAGTTTAAAATTTGAGAACTTTATTTACCTCACTCTTGTAATTCGATCTAAATATTCAATTTATTCACTGAGACATTTTGTCGAACACTTGATGAGCGATGTAGAGAGAATTTGTCAAGTGTTGTTCATGTAACCTATCGAGAGACATCGATATTACATCAAACACTTAATAGGTACAAAGAAACCCCTACAAAACATTTGAAAAGCCCTCAAAAGACCTTTACATAAATATTTTTTGAACTCCAACTTAGGTCTTAGTATGCATCCACCTTTGGTCCTATGATTAGTTAAATTTAACTAATTGCAGTGAGAATTGCCCGGGAAAAATATACTTTTTGGTATAGTGAAAGACATTATTTAGTTAGAAAATAGGGATCTAAATCTAAATGCACATCTTTATCCATGTGAAGAACATCTTTTCTTTTAGGGTTTTGGGGTCGGCCATCGGTCATCATCATGGCTAGTTTGGTCCCGCATGTACGCTAAAAGCAGCTCTTTTCTTTTTTAATAACCTTCTTTTAGGCATGGCCACCTAATGCATGAGAGATTTTTCAATATGATTGGTACACGAGATGGTATATTATGTGTTATTATACAAATGGTGGGATATATGTGCTAAAAAATTAATAACTTAAAAAATAAAATTTTTCACCCCTTCTATTAAAACACATGATGTACCACTTATATTCCAGTCACAACTAAAAATTTCTCCTAATGCACCAATGAATTTTTTGGGTCGAGTTCATTAGGCTTGCCTTCTTTATTTAGAAATTGTGAGCAATGGATTTATTTCTTTCGTTAATTTTCTACCTATTTTGGTAAATTCATGGGTCCACATTAGGGGTGGGTACGAGTTAGGCCAAACCCAAAATTGAAGGGATCGGACCGGACCTGCTTGAAAATACAATGGGTCAGACCGGGGTGAATTATACTATTTTCAAACTAAGAATCGGACCTAACCCAGCCCGTATAAAACGAGCCGTTTCCTACTGGTCCAACGAGTACCCTGTTTTTTTTTTCCTTCTAATTTTCAATATCTTCTCCAGCTTCTCTTGCTCGATTTTATGCAAAATAACAAACAAACAATAACTGTGAGAAGATGTATCAGAATAGCATTGCAAATATGATAAAGAAACAGACAAAATCAAAGCATGGGTCATATTGTAATCCACTACAGAAACTAGGTGTTCTAATAAAAACCCCATCTGGGCGTTTGGCAACAAAAGAAAAATGGAGAAAGCACCACCGAAGCACAGGCTACACAGATCCAACTTCCTCGCCGGAGAAAGAAAGCTTGAGTTGACCACGTTGTGCGCCTTCTCAATTCTCTTCACCACTCCCCACTGCAGCTGGACGACTCAAACGAGGAGATCCAATTGAAAATTTCACAAATTTTGTAAATTAAAATTAAGAAATTGGAAGAAATGAGGGAAATGAGTTACCTCGGTGTTAAGATCGAAGGAGGAGAAGAGGAGTTGGTGGGGGAGGAGGGCTGCGATAGCATATCATTTCTTGGTAGGGTATGGGTGTGGGTGTGGTGTGTCTGTGCTCCGGGAAGGAGAGTTGCAGAGATGGGGGGAGAAGAAACAAAGCAGAGGAATGAGGGAGAATGTTCAAGAGATTGGGGGAGGGGAAACACGGGGAAGTGGGGTGGGTGTGTGTATGTGTGTGTGTGTGTGTGTGTGTGGAGTGGTCTAGAGAGTGAGAAATGTCACGGCCCACGGGGAGGAACAAAATGAAGTGGGCCTGGGAGACAGTAACAGTACCGAACACGGGGGTATTTTTGCAAACTGGCCAATTCGGGTACCCATTTTTCTATACTTTTGGAACTGGCCCGAACCTAAAATTTCAAAGGCCCGCTCCGTCCCGTTTCTCTTTTGTAAAATTAGGACCCGCCCCGTACCCACCCCTAGTCCACATGTTAGCTAAATTAAAAGTATTCCTATAAAATTTGAAGCCATTTTATGACTGACGTAGTAACGATATAACTGTTTAAGTTTATTGGCATAACTGTCCATGTGGATAGGGTAATTATCCGTCTTCACATCTTTAAGAAACATACATTTTGTTCACAATCCCCGAAGGAACGCACCTAATGGGTCTTCGACCCTTTACTGCATGCATGGATGCAAGTTGATGCAAGTTTAGAGCATTATTATACCTCCTCATATTATTTCTTTCATTGTAAAAAAATTTAGCAATTTGGTATTTTAAGTTTGGGTAGTTTTGAT